GAGGAGGGAGAGGGAGAGGAGGGAGAGGGAGAGGAGGGAGAGGGAGAGGAGGGAGAGGGAGAGGGAGAGTGAGAGGAGGGAGAGGGAGAGGAGGGAGAGGGGATAGAAATAACATAAAATTCCTTATTCTTTTCAGTTAAAAGATGATCAGCTAAATTTTTTGTCACATAAATAATCTTTGCTTCAGGCCAAACTTCTTTGAAAAGTGGTAAAGTCTACCAAACAAACTAACATTTTAATACTTCACTTAAAAATGAAGCTGAAACTTCACTGTAATTGCAAAGTCATTGCCCATTAGCTCATTTATACAAACTGACATATTTTATAGCAAGAAGAATGGTAATAGTTAAAAAGAACACTTGGAAAAAAACCCTGCAAGAGTATTAAACAATTACAAAAGCAAGAATATTTACCGATTATATATTCGTATTACAAGGTTAGGATTATCTATAAGTCCAGGGTTTTCTGCAAACTCATGATAAGTAATGATATGCTCCATGAATTTTTCTGCAATGTAAAATAATAACAATTTGGTTAGTGAGTATATAAATTTTCAAATGAGATTATCATAATACTCTATGCATTGAAAAGACTATAGCATAAAATAAAATGTCCTTTTTTAAAAAAAACACCTTTTTTATATCCATCAAAAGTTTTTCCCCAGAACAAGAACGAACACTTCTATCCTCTCCCTTTTCCACCACTACTCCCCCAGTTAGAAAAACAAAAACAAAAACAGGAGAAAGAGATATACCAGAGACTTGTAGGAAAATAGATTAGAGATGTGGCCAGAGAGAGAGGGCGCGCACACACACACACACACACACACACTATAAAAAACAAAAACAGGAGAAAGAGATATACCAGAGACTTGTAGGAAAATAGATTAGAGATGTGGCCAGAGAGGACACACACACACACACACACACACACACTATAACTAATGAAAACTGTAAGTTCCATTCTTATCAAAGGGAGAAACTACTGGCAGGCAACTGCATAACTGAGGAATATTCATGGTGGTCTTAGAACTTGTAGTGCATGCTACATCAGAAAAAACAAAATATTTTACAACTGCTTGGAGGAAAAAAAAGGAACCCAAAATTTGGCTTTGGGTCTGTCAAGAAACAAATCCCAAGTTCTTGAAAAATGAATGAGGCTGTTGCATGAATTTTTGCACCCTGTTCCTTAACCTGCATTCTAGCACACCTAGGCTAACAGAGAAATTTTCCTTGCAGCACTTTGTATATTATTTACTTTTACTTGCCATTTCTGCCTCCTTCAAGATAACAAAATCTACCTTTTAAAAAGTGTAAACTTTATAGTTTATATAAAATGTAAATTTTCCATTCCCCATCCCCTATATTTTTAAAGTGAAAGCTTATAAGAATTATAAGAATGTGACCTATTTAATTTTGTCCCTGGAAGAAACCACTGGCCATAATGCACTCTTAATTTCTTACAAAAAATAAAACAAATAGAATTAAGAGATGGAGAAGAAAGAGGCATAATGAGCACCCTGTGACCCTAAAAAGAAAAATATTTAGGCCAACATAGTTGTAAGTCTCAGGGGCACCTAGTCTGCCACATGCAAGCCTTCAGTTGCTCTGAGGATAGGAGAAGACAAAAGATGATGCTAGTCATGGAAAGCAAATCCTTTCTTAGAGGAGAATCAATCAAGAGCCACTAGACAAATTGAGAAAATATTAAGAACAGTTTAGTTTACAAAGGTAAAACAAAAAGGCTAAAGAACATGGGACAGATGCACTTGGGTGCTCAACCCACATCAGACATCTGAACTACCTCTATTAAGCTCCTCCCTTTTTCTTGAGCAACTTTACTCTTCCAGGCCAACTCTCAAGACTGAGAAAGAAATCCCTTCAACCTTTTGTCAAAAAGACCACTGATTCAGTGAACAATCAGTTTTTGAAAACTTCAAGCCCTACTCTTATATCTAAGGGTCAGGGCTTTCCAGGAGGGAAGCTCAGCCCCAGTCCCACAGATACTTCAACAACTTTACAGATGAGAAAACTGACACAGCCTGAACTGACCCTGGCAGATCAGCAAACAGAGCAGCCCAAGACCTCTCAGCCTCTTAATATGAGGTGAGAGCCTTCATTCAAGGCACACTTCCTCATCCAAGCTGACATATATGTAATGTCACCCCATATGAGGTACCTTAAGTGAGGGGCTAAGGGCCTTACATTAAAAGGAGACAACTGTTACCTGTACAAGTTCATTAAAAAATTCAATACCCTGAAATGACTCAATAGCAGGTTTTCAATCAAGTGATGATCAGGCTGCTTTCTCAAGTGAAGACAGGGTGTGACTGCCCAGTGTACCTTTAGAAATTTCTCCATTCTCACTGAGGCCCCCACATAGGGAGAGGGTGACATCGGGCAAGTCCATGGCAGAATCTGAGAGGCACTCAGTGCCGCTATCAGCGGCGGCACTTCCCACAGACTGTGGGGACTGGGAGCCAGAGAGCGTATCAGACTCCGGCCACTGCCTTGAGCCAGGGTCTGATTCACTGTGGGAAGAGAACAGGGAGAAAATAATTTGTTTTATTACAACTTCTTTTATTTCTAGCTTACTATATGGTTCTCTGAGGGCTCAAATCAAATAACAAATCTCCTTTAAAAAGCAACAGATTGACCCTGGCTGGTGTGTCAGTGGTTAGAGCATCAGCCTGCACACCGAAGGTCAAGTGGTTCAATTCCTGGTCAGCATGTACCTGGTTGCTGGTTTGATCCCCAGCCCCAGTTGGGGTACGTTCCGGCAGCAACTGATCAATGTGTATATGTCTCTCTTTCTCTCCCTCCGTTCCATCCCTCCTTTTCTTCTACTCTCTCTTAAAAAAAAAAAAATGGGAAAAAAGTATCCTCGGGTGAAGATTAACAACAACAATAAAAAAGCAACAGGTTGATCTAGATTGATCTATAATCAGACATAGCTTTTCTTAGGTAGTGTGCAGAGTTATGTCATAATGACATTAAAAATAACCTATCAGCACTACTGAGGAATTAACTGTGAATACAGTAAATGCCATAAAAATCATTAAAAGTTATTCACAGTAACACAAAAATTTCAACTACAACCTTTCTGATTTTAATTAAAGGAGTAAAAGAGTTTTAAGCATTTATTTCTATTTCCATGATGAAAATGACAGTGCAATTAAGAAAAATCTGATGTTTGGAAACCTTTTGATCCTAACTTCTAGAAAAAGCTATGGTACTATATACATCCTGTAGAAAATTACTGTAGTCCAAGGTTGTATTATTTTTAAAAACAAGACTTTTCTAAGTTCATCTATTACTCCACAAAATAGAACAAAGAAATTAAGCAAAAGAAAAGTCTCAGGAGGCTAGACCCACCATGAAAAGAAATGTATTAAGAAATAAACTAAAAACAAACTGTTTTTTCACTAGTGTGAGGGCCAAAAATAAATATGAGGCTATGCAGTATTTTCATTTTTCTAGATGATAAGGTACAGAAACCAGGTTTCAGAAGGTGATTCTACGGGAAATTGTAATGGAGCATAAATTTGAGAGAGAAAAAACAAGGAATTGACAACTTAAGTTTCTTAGTCATGAATGTTTTAATTGCTCTTCATCCGTTGAATGGATATCACATTTACTGTTCTAGAATTTTCAAATTCTTTTCTTTTATTCAGAAAGCCAATATATTTAATGTATGTGACCAATATATACAATCCAGTGTAGTTATAAGGTCTTCAGAAAAAATCTCAAATTTGAGCAGCAGATGGCAGCAGAATAACAGGTAAGTCATAGCTATAAAGCAGTTTCAAACACTACAGTTTTGCATTTGAACCAACAAAAGATTTAGGTTTTTGGAAATGTTCTGTCTTAATAGCAATGCACAATATTACAATACTGAAATTAACTCAGAATGTTCTCTTCACTGGAAATGGTGAAAAAGCCAAAGCCAATATAAGGCAGCAAAACCTACTGCTATGCTGAAGCTGAGGGGAAAGGCTGACCCCATGGGTAAAACACAAACAGAAGGATGCTATGTATTCACAAATACCCATTTCCTCTTAATCCTGGGCACACAGCTAGGTCCCATGTCCCATTACAGTTAGGTGTGGTCATGTGACCAGATGACTGAGTTGTTGATGTGGACAGAAGGGGTGGGCTGTGCCCTTCCCAAGCCTGGTCCCTGAAAACTACCCCATGAGATCCTCTCTCCTTTCCCTCCTGAGGCCCTAAGGGGATGGTGGAACCTCAAGGTGGAAGAAGTTTGTGTTCCTGAATCTCTGTGTGTAAGGCCTCCAACCAAACACCAGCATTGGAATACTGCAGATACTCTTATATGTGATCTTTTCCAATAGATATAGTATAGCCAGTCCTCCATATCCCTGGGTTTCACATCCATGAATTAAAAACAGTATTTTCTGGGAATGCGGAGAGCTGACTGTATGAATTGTTCTACACCACTTTATTTAAGGGACTTGAGCATCTACAGATTTTGGTATCCATGGTAAGTCTTGGAACCAATCCCTGTGGAGGGATGACTGTAAAAGTTTTTGGGGAGTCAAAAGTTACATGTGAATTTTCAACTGCATGTGGGGGAAGATTTGGCAACCTAACCCCTGCATTGTTCAAGAGTCAACTATATTATCACATGAGCAAAAAACAAATTTCTATTGTGGTAAGCCACTAAGGTCTTGAGTTTTATCAGAGCAGCTAGTGTCCCTCTTAACCAGTACAGGGAAGATGCCAGCTGACTCAACATGTCACCAAGTCCACAAGAGTGATGTGATTTAAATTTTACTTATAAATACTAAATATTTAGTCAAGATAACAATGAACACAATCATAACAAAACACATGCTTATAAGCATTACAACAGTGATTTCAGTATCTTTAATTATGTATGAAATGTCTCAAATAATAATTAGTTGATGAGGGAAGCAGCTTACCTGGTGAATGGCAACGATCCTAAACAGTAAAATTATAATAAAGCACAATAGGAGTCCTATTGCTTATTTCCCCATTTTATAAAACAGCATTTTTCAATGACTTTTAGAGAGGGAGGAAGAGGGAAGGGGAGAGAGAGAAACATCTATATGAGAGTGAAACATGGACTGGCTGCCTCCTGCATTCCCCCTACTAGGAACTGAGCCCGCAACCCAGGCATGTGCCATGACAGAATCGAACTGGCAACCTTTCGGTGCATGGAACGACGCCCAAGTCACACTGGCCAGGGCACTTTTTCCATCCCATTTTAAGAAAAGAAACTAAGAAATCTATCTTAGGAATCTTGATGTAAGTAAATGATTAAGGACTGAGAAATTGGAAAGAAATAATTCTAAGACAGCTTATATTTTAACTTTCTTATTGAAAAAAAATGGAGCAGTTTCAGTTCTCTCACCCTAAAAACCCAACTATTACTTCAAATGAATATATCTGTAAAAATATCTGTAAAAATATCTGTAAAATATCTGTAAAAATAAAAATATCTGTAAAAATTTTTAAATACTCTTCATATCAATCCCATCTTTCTATTTAATAAAAACTTAATGTTTTCCAATAATTTATTTAAAAGTGTTTAATTATGTCTGCCTGTGGTTCAGTACATTCAAGCCATAGTTTTCATGGGGAAAATTTTATTTTTTTAAATCATAGTGTATATTGGAATGGAATTCCCCTAAGAATGAAAATGAACTTGGGAAACAGTACAAGTATATCCTGCCTGAGGTTTTAGAGTTATATAAGGGGAAAATTGTGAGGGTGAGGGAGAGGGAGGAAGAGTGGCAGGAGGTGAGAGCTCTAGGGAAGGTGGGGAGCACAGGCCAGCTGAATAGTGCCTCACCAGACCCAGGCTCAAATTCAGAAAAAGCCTAGGAGCTCAGACTCATTGAGGGAGTGAAGGCATTCTTTGCAAAATGTTTTTCAATAAAGATATATTACCTTTAAAACACATAAGAAATGAGACAAATGCTAAGCAATTTTCTTAAGCATGCTGATTTGCATTAATGATTGTAATAGTGCTAATCTGAAGTCATACCCTTATGTAGGTTCAACTAGTGCACTTCTTCTTGTTGCATTGAAAATGTCTTCATAAACAGGTAAGTTATTAGTTTCAAATCACTACAGTCAAATCAAAACATGTACAATTTCTGAATCTTTTAAGTGTGAAGCAATCATCTAACTTAGCTAAAGGATATCATCAATCTTGCTCCTTTTTATCAGATTAAATGTTTTGCTCTAGAAACAGCTAGACTATGTCAGAGTTGTTCACCCTTCAATATACAATGAATACACTACCTTTTAGGGAAATAGAGAGCTGCAACTTCAGGTTCTAGAGCCTTTAAGTCATCGAGGTAAATATCATCAGGTCCCTGGTGTTGGCTTCTCTTGTGGACACCTGTTTTTATAAGAAAAACACAGTAGATAAAGAAGTTAGTTATTCTTCATTTACAACTCTACAAGAAAACAACAGTTTGCAAACAATAAAACTGACCATGATTTGAATTGGGCTTTATATTTAAAAGTGTCAAATAACATTTTCATTTGTGTTGGTTCTCAACCACCCATGCCAATGGAAGTGAAATTCAGTGTTACACTAACAGTTGCTCAATAAACATGCTAATTTACTCATTTTTTCATTTGCTGACATGAATAATCCTAAGCCCTAAAAATAATTTATATTTGACAATAAAGTTTATTAAGCATGACCAAACTTAACGAAATCACTGGCATCAAAAAGGAAGCCATTATTCTAAAACCATGAAGGAAAGGTTTTTGGTGAATAGGATATTCACATAGTGCCAAAGTACTACCTTCTAATCGCAAAAATCCTTTACAACAAATAAATCTGGCAGGCAATACCTTAAACAAGTGATCATATTTAACATTACTAACAGTGAGACATTATGAGCTGCAATATGAAGTACCCAATATATCCCATAAAGTAATCTTCAATTCAAAAATAAAAAAATAAAAAACCAAATCTAATTAAGCCTCTAGATCTATACTGCCCACTATAGTAGTCACCAGCCACATGTGGCTACTGAGAACTGTCCTAGTATGGTGTAAGATATATAAAAAGTATTTAAAAATGCATGACACACACACCAGATTTCCAAGACTTACTTTATAAAAAATGCAAAATTTCAAAAATTTTTATACTGATTTAACATGTTAAAATTATAATAGTTTGGCTTTACTGGCTTAAATAGAATATATTACTAAACTTAATTTCACTTGTTGATTTTTTACTCTTTGAATTTGTGAAAAGACTTAAAATTATATATGCAATTCACATTGTATTTCTATTGGACAGAGCTAACTTCCAGTTGAAGGAACTATGGGGATGTCACCTTGAAAACAACAACAATCAGATACTATACCAGACAACTGGAATTGGCTGGTCACTATCTTGAGTTCAGAGGAGGAAAAAGGTGTAGCAGTGTGCTTACGTATGCGGGAGAGTGTGTGTGTGGGGGGGGGTGCTAGTCTAAATAAAAAATGCAACGTGTGAACTTCGATGAGATCTTGGTTTGGAAAAAAACAACTAAAAAGCTATTCTTGGTATGTTTAGGAAAATATGAATATAGATTCCTCAACATGACAATAGTACTGTGGTTAGGTAGAGAATGTCCTTATTCTTAGAAGGTGTATCTTCTTGGGGTGGTGAACACACTACAATATACAGTTGATGTATTAGAGAAACCTATATAATTTCATTAACCAATGTCACCCCAATAAGTTCCATTAAAAAAAGTGTATCCTGGAGTATTTAAAGGTGAAATGACATAATTCCTGCAACTTGTTTCCAAATGGCTTAAGCCAATAAAAACTTTGTGTGAGTGGAGAGACAGAGATACAGCGAGAGTGAGAGAGAAAGCACAAAAGCAAGCAAATATGCATAAAACTTTTCACAATAAAAGGCTGGGGAGAGGGAAGAATGAGGCCATATGAATGGTAGAAACCACTTGGTGTCCCTAATTCAAGTCAGTTCCTACACTATGTGCTAACAATAGAGGAATCAGTATTTCCTAGACTAAAAACATACACCCTGAAAACTGGACTTACCTCCTTTAGCATTTCTTAGAGTATAACATATGGTTATGGGCTTTTGGTATGAGAAGCGCTGATCTGTGAAAGAGCAAGGTGGCAAACTAAGCTGGATTATCAGCTGGATGATCACACTTGGCTACAAATACTCTTGACAGTTAAATCCTCTTATTTTAAATAAGTTGTTTCTGAGTGACCCTGAAGGTTCATACTTGTAGTGCATATTTATTAAGTCAATTTGTGATTACCTATCCTTTTGTGTTAAAGAATTTTAAAAAATGGAAGTAGATATTTGGCTATATGTGACAATGATATTTTTAGGTAAGGTTTTAGTTCCCTAAAAATAGGGTCCATGGCTAGTGTTCAGATAGTGAGTGTGTTTTGGCTCTTACTGTACCAAGTATCAATGAATAACTTTATATTTTTAAATAGGAAGAATGTTATAATTTATTAAACTTGTATTCCAAAAGTGAGATAGAGCTGTTGAGCCAAGAGTTAGACCCTATCTTCTGTTTCAGAGGAAAACAGTCAATGAAAAAGAAACACATGCTAATAATTAGTGTATATTATATATGTATCTCATTATTAAAAAAAAAAAAGTACTTAATTTGGCCTCAACAAACCAGAGGTTTTACGTGGAAATATTTTTCTCTAATTTTTTGTTTAAACCTAATTTTTTAGGATTCTACTTCACTTTACTGACATACCTCATCAATACAGTGGTTAATTTCACTCATTAATTTATTTAAATATATTCTTTTTTTTTTTTTTTTTCAGTAAATGCTTCTCAAGAGCCTACTGAGTAGTAACAGTTGGGAAGGGCAGGAAGGAAGTCAGAGTTCTGCTCCAGTGGATCCTGTAGTGCGATGGGGAAGCCATATAAAACAAATAATCGTAATAGTAACAGGTTCTGATCAGGGAGTACAGATACAATGGTAACCATCAAATATTATTTGAAACACCGAAATAATTTACTGTCTAAATTTAGAGTACCTGATCCCAAATTAAACAAATGATTACCTTTCTTCTTTGATGGCGAGTCTACTTTAGCAGCTGGCTTTGATTCTGAGAGAGCCTCCACTAACGACGGGTTAGGAAGTTGGTCTGCATCTAACATAGATGAAATCTGAGGCTCAAGGGGAGGCTCAAGAAGTTCTGTAGCACAAGTTGCATCGCTCATCTGCTTACACAGGGCTCTGGGTTTGGGTTTCACTATGGTACAGACCGTTTCTCCCATAGATGCATCCTTCTCAACTTCACTTATAAAGTGGTCCTCACTGGGAATTACCCGAAAATGGGTATTCTCTGATGGTGTAATTGTAGCTGTCCTAGGATGACGGTCAGATCTCTCTCTTTTGCTGACCTAAAAGAGTTGAATTGTTTAAAATTAAACTACTTTAGAAAATATTTGTTCTAGTCTATTTCTTAAGCTAGATGCAAGTAAACATGCTCATTTAAACAAGACATTCAGTAAATACATTATTTTCTATGTGTGAAATATTTCATAATTAAAAAATGGGAAAACTAGTAACTGCATTTTGTTCAATATCATATTTATAAAAGTTATATTTATAACTGTTCAACTCTGAAGAGTTCAATACTAGAGAAGACTGAGGAAATAGATGACAAATTTTAGATACTAAGAGGGAGAATACTCATTTTCAGGGAGAAAACTTGAGTGCTACAGGGAAATTTAACCCTGCTTGGACTATTTCCAGGCTCTGTTAAAACAACGTAAGACGTCGAATTATAATGTTGTATGCCTGAAACTTACATATTATAAACCAATGTTACCTCAATTAAAAAAAAAAAGTAAAAGTGGGCAGTGAAGTCTCAAATGCAATCACACATATAAGCAAAATGTGTATCTTAAAAAACTAGAGGTTTAAACATTTCTTCCAAGAGACAAAGACAAACACCTTATGACTGCACTTATATGTGGAAACTAAAAAATAAAACAAAGAAAAGAAACAGAAACAAACTCATAAATACAGAAAACAAAATGATGGTTGTTAAAGGGGAAGAGGATGGGAGATTGGGCAGAAAAGGGAAAAGGAATTAAGTACAAACTTCTAGTTATAAAAAAGTCACGGGGATGTAATGTACAGCACAGGGAATAGAATCAGCAATATCATAATAACTAGGTATGGCAACAGATGGTTACTAGAGTTATTGTGGTGGTCCCTTTGTAAGGTATATAAATGCTGAATCACTATGTTGTACACCTGAAACTAATAGAATATTGTATGTCAACTACAAAGTAAATTAAAAAGAAAAAAGAAAAAAAAAAAGTTGGGCTAATTCACACACAAAGAATAAAATAAAAGCAGTCTCTCTCATTGAATGAATGAATGAATGAATGAATGAGAAAGAAACGTATCTTTCCAATTCTTTCTTCTTTCACTGAGTTGGCAAAAAAGCTTTCACAATCAATTTCCTGTTTAAAATTTCAGGGTGAAAATTCCTTTAGGTATGTTTTAAATTTAATGTTAATTAACAATCAACATTATTTACTAAATAGAAACAGAAAACAATGCTAGATTTCTTTTGTTGTAAACACAGTGCAAACATGAAAAATGTTAACTTTGAATTTATTTATGTGACCCCATGAGGGCACTACCATCATTTATGTTCATATGAGCTCAGTCAGGTATCACCCCTTTACTCATGAACGACAAACACACTCTGTAGGCAAGTAAACCCTAGTACCTTTGTGGACTCTGGGAACCCGCCCCACGTCCACTCCATGTGGGACTCGGATCTGAGCAGGCTCTCGGCAGGTTTCACCTCCAGCTCTGAATCGCTCTTCGGACATGCTGCCGGGGAATATGGGCTGCAAACACAGTACAAAGAAATGTAATGACTTTAAAGTCAGCAACTTCAGTGTTGCTGAGCTCGACAGATTAAAAGAAATGTAAGTTTGAATATATCAACTGTATCCTGCTGATATAAGGATTCTATTAAAGAAAATGTCAATTATTTCTTCCTCTTGAGTTTTTTAGTAATAATAAAAAAACAGTGCCCACTAGTATTTATGGTGGATTTGCTGGGTCCTCTGTAAACATTTTCTATGCATCATCCCATTTGATTCTCACAAGAAATCAATAAGGAAGGTAATTTTACAGGAGAGGAAATGCATGGAGAAATGGATTAAATTAACATTACTACATGAGAGAAACTGGATTTTTAAAGAGAACAAAGTATGACTGCTCATTTCTTCACAATGTTATGCACAGTACAGTTAGTGGTTGACACTAAAAGATTAGAACTTAAGAAGTGTAGAGGGCCAAATTCTATGCTGATTCTACAGCTGTACAGTGGCCAACACAGTGAAAGTTAAATCAAGATTAGGAACAAAATAATTATTGAGAGAAAAGGTCCATATTCATGTTAAAAGTACACATTTAGAGCCCCTACTGTATGAGAGAACTGGGAAATACCATTACTATCCAGTAATAGAAAAGGCTATTTAATATATCTTTCCTATAAGAAACAGAGAAATTTTGAAAGTACTTACTTGTCCAAAGGGGACCAATCTCCGTCAGATAAGGGGTAGTGATCTCCAGAATGGAAGAGCAGAGGCTCCTTATATTCTTCTTCCTTTAAGGAAGCATTTGAAGATCCTCTGTGAAG